TTGTATCAGAAAAGGATGAAACAAGCATTTCATAAAAATCTTCGGCCTCGAGAGTTTAAGGAGGGAAAACTCGTACTCAGGAAATTTTTCTCTTTTAATCCTGATTCAAGGGGCAACTGGGCTCCTAATTATGAAGGATCGTATGTTGTTAAGAGAGCTTTATTTGGCGACACTTTGACTCTTACAAATATGGATGGTGAAGAGCTCCCGTGTCCTGCGAACGCCGATGAAGTCAAGAAATACTTCTCCTAAATAATGAAAAAATCTCGCTAAGTTGAAAACCCGAAAGGGCGACTTAAGAAAAAATGAGCGTCTCGGTGGATCGAAAACCGAAAGGGCGGTCCAGGAAAAAATTAAAGACATAAAAAATTATAATCATCCCGATAGATTGAAAACCTGAAAGGGCGATCTATGCAAAGGTTAGGGAACATGGAAAGTAACTGCACCAGATACGACTTGATCATCTTGAAGCAACTACGTCTTTTGAAGGATTCTCCACCAGAGACTCTCAACTGACGCTAGTACACGGTTAGAATTCAAAGTTGATAGGGAGAACAATGGTTATTGTATTTTAATATAGCTCTTCCCTTCTATCTATAATTTTCTAAGCTTTGTAATCATCCTTGGAGTCACGCCATTTGTGGACTACTGTTCTATCAATAAAATTTGAGCCTTTACCCAATTGTTTGGAATTCTTATTTTTATGTTTTCTTCTACAAAATTTCATTTTTTTTCACCTTTTTGATAATGATATTTGAAACAAATAAAAAATTAAAAAATTAAAAATAATTTTTATGCTTTGAAAATAATGACAAATGTTTTCCTTCGATTTATAAATGCAAAAAGGGAATGTTGGCAGTGATTCCAACAAAGGTTAAGTCCCAAAGTGCGGAACAAAGTGAACACCTCTTACGATCTACTTGAGGAAACTAGGAAAATGAACAATAAAGTCTCCATCGAATATTTTTTATACCAAAGAAGGGAAAGGAAAACATCGAGTAAACTTAAGAGAAAACAAGGTCTTACAACCAAGAGATTGAGTATGGGAGTCGATTACGCAAGGGGACGGTATTAGCATCCCTCACGTCTATGGTACTCCATGGGATTCACTCTTGTTGTTCTAATCAAAGAGTGTGTTTAAACTTTGCTAAATCTTACCAGCTAAAGGGAAATGCATGAGAAAATTATACAAGGAAAATAAAGGTTTTAAATAATTATGCTCGCTTAGGCCCTGTAACCTAATGCCTACGTATCCATTTTGAGGAATTAGAGCATCGTAGTTCGGCTTAAAAGTTTTGGTTTGTTTGTGTTTTAAATGGGTAACAACCCTTTCTGAAAAGTTTTCATAATAAAATCCCAAGCGGCAATAGAGAGTTTGATTTGTTGAATATTTTGCTAGGAAATCCCTCAGGTGGTCCCCGTGGGTACTTGAGTCCATTTCCTTTAAGTTTTGAAAGTGTTTGAGACACGTATCATGCTAAAGTCTATGACATGAAGATCCTTGGTGATCGAGTCAGACGCTTTGGATCTAAAGTCCTCTTCATGTACTTAAGGCTCGTGTCACATTACATGTATCTCTACTTATTAAGTGTTTTTGAGTTTTCTTGAGAAAAAAGGTTTTAGTTTTACATACATGCAATGCAACAATAAAACCAAAGGCTAAGGAAACTTGATTCCTACTTGTTATCATACAATGGTGGTCCTAAGATTAGGATACAAGGAATCCTACCGAATAGTCATCATGCTTGTTTACAAACCTAGAGTCTACTTTCGATTCAACCTTAACCAAAGTTGAACCAAAGTTTCTAAGGGAGCATGGCATCTCACAGACAATGAGAGTGTACAAGTAACACAAAGGATATCTAAACAAGTAATCAACAAGCAATGAGAATCAACCATGACATGATAGAAGATAAGCTCAAGGGAGAGTACCTAAACCTGAATTAGGACTCAACTAATCCTAAATAAGTAATAGAATGAGAATGGTATCATGACAAGAATATGTGAGATGTAAGATATCCTAAACATGCATTAGGATGGGAGTGTTATCATGACAACCATACATAATGTATACCATCCTAAACATGCAATAGGATGAAAATGTTATTATGACAAGCATACATACAAGTATCAAACTAACATGTGAGGTGAAACGCTATCATGACAAGCATACATCAAAGATGTTAAACCAAAAAGCAAGGAGACATGTTATCAAGACAAACATTCAAGATAATAGACCAACATGGAAGGTACAAGCTATAAAGACAAGCTGACATGTTATCAGGACAAACATGCAAGATAATAGACCAACGGGAAAGGTACAAGCTATCAAGACAAGCAGACATGTTATCAGGACAAACATGCAAGATGATATACCAACATGAAAGATACAAGCTATTAAGACAAACATACATGTTACCGAGACAAACATGTTATATATAAACAAATATCTAAACATGCAATAGATGAACATATTATCATGACAAGTAATAAGAGATATAAACTATCCTAAACATGCAATAAGATATAGTGAATCAAGACATCACAAAAAGTGTTACCTAAACATGCAATAGACTAAGGGAGAGTCAAGACATCATAACAAGATACCTAAACATGCAATAGGCTAAGTGAATCAAGACATCATGTAAGGTTTACCTAAACATGTAATAGGATAAGGTGAATCAGGATCACAACAAAGATTACCTAAACATGTATTAGGTTAAAGTGAATCAGAACATCACAACAAGTATTCCTAAACAAGCAATAAGAAGGTGAATTAGGACATCGCGTCAAAAGTTACCTAAACATGTATTAGACTAAGATGAATCAGGACATCACATCAAGGACACTTAAACATGGATTATGCTAAAGTGAATCAAGACATGCACGTAGGAGGTAAGATAGTAAGCATCTGAAAATGAAACAGGTGATCATGTAATCAAGACATACAACATAAGAGATGAGAAGGTAAGCATCTGAACATACAATATAACATGCTATCAGGACAAGTAAGGTAAGAGATGTTAGGACAATCATCTAACAAGTAATAGAATATTCTATCATGACAAGAAAAGTAAGAGATATCAGGACAAACATCCAACAAGTAATAGAATATGCTATTATGACAAGCAAATAGGGTATGAGGTACACATCTAAACCTGAACTAGATGACATGCTATCATGACAAGCATACAAGATATATGTAAGGTCCTAAACCTGAACTAGATGACATACTATCATGGCAAGCATACAAGACATGAGATAAACATCTAAGCCTGAACTAGACGACGTGTTATCATGACAAACATACAAGATATGTGATAAGCATATAAACCTGAACTAGATGACATGCTATCATGACAAGCATACAAGATATGAGATAAGCATCTAAACCTGAACTAGATGACATGTTATCATGACAAGCATAGAAGAAATCAAGTGAACATCTAATCATGCCATAGATGAAATGCTATCAGGACAAGCATACAAGAAATAAATGAACATCTAATCATGACATAGATGAAATGCTATCAAGACAAGCATACAAGAAATGAATAAACATCTAATTATGACATAGATGATATGCTATCATGACAAGCAAATATGATATGAAACCAACATCTAAACATGCAATAGATGATATGCTATCATGACAAGCATGTGGTACTATCAAGCAAGTATCCAAACATGCAATAGATGAACATATTATCATGACAAACATGTGTGAGGAACGTCAAACAATGAACATGAATAAGCAAGAGAAATGAACATGAAGAGGAATGAACATGAATCAAAACAAAGTGAACAAGTATCAATGTAAGAACATGAATCAAACAAGGTGAGTGAACATGAATCGATTAAAGTGAAAAAGTATCAAACATCAAGGACAAGTATCCTACAATTAATGATCATGAATCAAACAATTAGAACATGAATCTAAAGAGGGATGAACAAGAATCATACATGAACAAGTATCAAGAGAAAGTAAACAAGTATTACAAAGTATTGATCATGTATCAAAATAAAATAAACAAGAATTACAAAATTTAAACATGTATCAAAGTAAACATTGAACATGTATCAACATGAATTAAACAAGTATTATAAGATGTGAACAAGTATCAAAGAAAAAGTAAACAAGTATTAGCAGGGGTTAAGAACGTGAGTTCTAAAAACTATCCAATTATTAAACATGAATTAATAATTAAGAACAAGTATCTTAATGACATGAACATGAATCAAAACAGGACAAGTGAACATGAACCACATATTTGGAACATGAATAACAATCATCATATAATTAGAACATGAATCTAGAGTGTAACGAAGAAGCTTCATATAATCTAGAATGCAGTTTTTGCTTGCAAGGCAAATGGCTATAAAAAAACCGCTAATGGGCCTCAAGGATCCAAATTCGACCCCTATTTAGCATCACTAATCCAATGTTTTTTATTTTTCAGAATTTAATAATTAATAAATGTAAAACAAAAATCAAATTATGAAAATGGAATGGATACGGTGCTTTGAGTTTACAGACTGAGACGATTGGGCTTCAACGAAACAGACTCCTCCCTTGTTCTTCTCAATCGCCTGCGGCGTGAACAACGAACTCCCGCCACCGTCTTCAAACTCACCTCATCCTATTTATCCAAGATCCTTTCTCTCTTTCTGTGTTCTCAATCATGATTCCTCCCTTGGCTTTCGTGGATTTTATCTTTCTTAGCACAAATCTCACAGAATAATCAAAACCCTCCCTAGGTGACGGAAACTTAAATTGAAATCCATGGATGAAGCTCCAGAACACGCAACGTTAGAGCATCAGTTATAATCGGTCTATTCTTCACATTCGTGTCAAAAAGCGGTGAAAGGATGAGGAACAACCGATTTGTTAATGGAGATCTCTTCAGGTGCAAATCCTGTTTCCTCAATTTCCTTCTTTCTCCTTCTATGTGCGCGAATTCTTGATTTGTCGTGTTTTTGTTGCCGAGTAATAGATATTGATGATGTCGAACATTGTGCGATTGTTGTTCGTTGGTGTAGTTACAGTTGATATGATTGAAGTGCAGAAAATATTGCGGAATCGGTTGAAGAGATATTACCGAAACCGTTACATTGAAGATGTAGGCGATGATGAATGTGATGTTGAATGTTATAGATTTATGATGAAGATGCGCGAGGAGGTGAAGATGGTTGAAGCAGCAGATGATTGAATGTTATAGAATCAATCAATCTGAGCCCTTGAATTGTATTAGTTTGTTACACAATTGACGATGAGATTCGATGGCAGTTATGAAACGGTTAGAAGTTAGGATCTATTTTTAAAGTTGTTAGCTAGGCTGAACAGTGAATCTGAAATTCTGATATTTCTCCTAATTTTGTTTTGAATCAATTTCACAGTTTCCATGTTCCTGATTTTTCTGCTGAACTGTTTTCTTTATTTCTCACAGTTTCTGGTTCAATTATTTCAGTCTGTTTTATTTATTCAGGTTTGGATATGTTTATGAATGGATGCAGCCTGTTTTATTTATTCAGGTTTGTATATGATTATGAATGGATGACTGGTTTGTATCTGTTTTCAATTCGTACAGAGCTGCTTTGGATAATTGTTTGGATTTTTGTTGTGTGTGTATTAATGAATCAACTATGAGTCAGGTTTTGATCAGTGTCACGAGCTGAAATTGTTGCTTGTTTAAATGGTGCAGGTTAAGGCTGGCTTGTGATGTTCATGGTTTTGGATAAAGGTGATGAAGAGAGAAGCAAGGAAATGGCACGAAGTGTTTCGAAGATTAATTGAAGATTAGCCATGGAGAAATTAGAATAGCTTTAGGTTTATTGTGATTCTCTTCATGTAAACTCTTGGCACATTTTAATTTTTTGTACTATGATGCCTTATGTGACTTTTAATCCAATTTGTAATGTGTCTCGATTTTGTAATGAAATTGGATGACCTTGTAGTGAATCAACCTTGCTTCCCTGTTATGCCATGATCTTCCAAGATTTTTGAATCTAAAACTTGAGTTCGTTTCACAAGCAATTTGCAAAACATTAATGCCAGGCTTGCGCACCAAGAAATCACAATCTCTTGTTCAAATCCCAATTTCCCACTAAATCGCATTTGAAACAAACACTTAGTTGAGAAAATACGCACAAAACCTTAGTTGTTGGATGATCGAATGATGAACCTTAACCCGGAATCATTTGGAACTTGAATCAAACTTAACCTTTGAATCGTCCCTTGAATGTATTATTATGCCTTGATTGTCTCAAAATGAATGAATGAAACTTGATTTAAGAATTTTTAGTCCCCTGAGATAATTGAACTTGTGTTGCATATTGATGCTGAATGTAGCTTGGGATGATGGAGAGAACCAAAATCCTAACTCACTAAGATCTTCAGTATAATCCTCAATGAAGGATAATAAGTTAAAACCCTTTGGAATTGATTTAAAGCTCAGTGATGAAGATTATGTATTTCATAAGCACAATCACAAACCCTCTTTAAGCAATGAAAGGTGACCCCTTGACGATCTTTGGGAAGTTTAGATAGATAGAAGACCCCGTGTCTTGACGAGAATGATCGTGATGACTAACATCTTAAACTTGTATTGATCGATCATTGCATTTCCTTTCTTGATAAGAGAAAACCCTAATTCACTTATGAAATTGATCCCATATCACAAGAACCAATGCAATGTATGTACGAATGATAATGAAGCATATGAGCCATTTAGGGTTAAAATTAAGAGGGAAAATTTTGGGGTGCAACACTACTTTGTAAAAGCTCTCAGATGGCACTGTTTCCCAGTGATCGCCAGCTAGACCTTGATTCTGATATCTCTAACTGAGCAAGATTTTCTCTCCTCAGCTGAAGCAGAGTTTTTGTTATTATCCTTCTGATGGATTATTTATGTTAGAAGAATGAATTGTGGGATTCCCCCCCAAGAAGTATCTTCCTCTCCCCAAAGAGATCTGAACCTTGTAGCAGGACTATGTTCCGTTAAGTGGATTTTTTTATCTCCGGTGATGTTTCTATCTTCTTGAGTAGTATGTTAATTCCCAGAGAAGTTGTCTCAAAATATCAATCTTATTTACTCCAATGGATGGTTGATCTCTTCGATATGATAGAGATAGTTCGTTGTGAAATTTTATTCACTCCAATGAATGGTTGATCTCTTTGGTATAATAGAGATAGTTCGTTGTGAATCTTATTTAATCTAATGGATGGTTGATCTCTTCAATATGATAGAGATATTTTGTTGTGAAATCTTATTTACTCCAATCGATGGTTGATCTCTTCGATATGATAGAGATAGTTTGTTGTGAAGCTTATTTACTTCAATAAATAGTTAATCTCCTCGATATGATAAAGATAGTTTTTTGTGAATTTTATCTTCTCCAATGGATAGTTGATCTCTTCGATATGATAAAGATAGTTTATTGTGAAGCTTATTTACTCTAATGGATGGTTGATCTCTTCAATATGATAGAGAAAGTTTGTTGTGAATTTTATCTTCTCCAATGGATGGTTGATCTCTTTGATATGATAGAGATAGTTCGTTGTGAAGCTTATTTACTCCAATAGATGGTTGATCTCTTCGATATAATAGAGATAGTATGTTGTGAAATGTTATTAATAAGTGGTTTCTTTTTTAGGAGCTTGTTTGTCACCCTTTCTAAATGCAAGACTTGGTTAAAGTAAAAGTTGAACCATATTCTCATAGCGGAAGCTTGTTATTCAATCATATCTTGTATTACCTTTGGTTTAAGCTACCACTTGTATGGTAGTAGGTGTGGTACGGTGGGAGAACTGACTTGAAGGTTTTGCGTTTGATCGCAAATATTGCGGTTAACAAGAGTCGCCACCGACTTTTCTTTTATCCAAAAGGAAAGGTGAAAAAGCACGGGAAAGACCTTTGAGATTGTTTCTTGAGTTCAGGGTGTAGATTATGAAAAGGGAAAGTATTAGCACCCTCTTCATCCATGGTTTTCCATGGGCTCTTAGTTACTTGCTAGATCACTTGCTTTTTGTTTGAAATTGTGCTTGATGTGGTTTTTGAAAGTATTTTGTAAAGAGGCCATTGTTTAGGCAATCTTTGTAATGATTCTTGTTTGCAAGAATGTATACAAAGATGTTTGATCTTTTGAAAATGTTTTCAATCCTGTAAGATGTTTGAAAGTGTAGGTGTTTGTTTTGAAAATAGCAAGGATGTTTGTTTTGAAATGGAGCAAGTAATTAGGAGCAATCTACCTACTCAAATGTATTTCTTGTTCATTTTTTTTTCCTTTGACATTGTTGTCTTACCATTGATTTGGTAAGCAGCCCTATCTTTGGATGTAAACGGGACGGGCGTGTGTCATCGTATAACCATGATTAGTAATGTTGCAAGGTATCTTAGCATTCTTTTTGAGGGACTAAGATCATTTGTAAGGCAACTTAGATAGCGTCATCGAGGGTCTATGGTCTGGTATTTGCTTGTTTTGGCTAAGATACCTTACATGCGTAATATGACCATTTGTTATAAGGCAACCAAGTGGAATAACTCTAGGGGTGTTTGTATGTAAGTGTATCATTTTCATGTTTGTTTTTGTCTTGAATTAGGGTTTTATAATAATTGGTTTTAGTCTTTCCATACAAACCCTAATTACTAGCATTTATATGAAAGCGATAAATTGCGGAAAATAAATGTCCTACGCTATTACATCATTTAGGGGTGGGGTGTACAAATTACAAATGGGGAATTACAAGAAATTAAAACCCTAATTATCTATTACAACCATATCGAATTTAATAAATGTACAAAAACAAATATAAATATAATGTACAAGAAGTGAAATGAATATAATGTACAAGTATAAATTGATAAGGAGTGGATTTTTGTTTTGACCTAATTAACTTAAAAGAAAAATAATTAACTAAAAGTAAGAAAATTAAAATTAAGTTAGTAAAAGAAATTAATTTAAAGAAAAGAAATTTCTAAATAAATAATAAGAATAAACCTAAATCTAATTATTTAATTAATTTTTAGAAAAGAAAATGAAGTAAATAAGAAAACATTTTGATCTTTTAGTCTAAAAGAAATAAATATGAGTATATTTAATATACGTAAATAAATAAAATATTTTTGAGATTTTTATTAATAAAAATAAAATATTGTAATAATATTAATAATAATAACTAAAAGAAAGAAAATAAAAAATAAATAAAATAAGTCGGGGGGGTGAAACTTTGATTTGGGGTGTTTTGTAGAAAATAATTTTTTTTGGTTAGAACCTGGCCCATTGGCATATTTTTTTGTATATAGCAAAAGAAAATTAAAAAAAAAAAGTGATTTGGGTATGGTGTGGTATAATGAGTAATAGGTGGTGTGTATATGAGTTAAGGGAGTTGAGGCCTGTATTGATTTTGGGGTGAGGGAATGGGCTTTATTCCAGAAGCATTAAACAAACAAAACCAAAATGTGACTCATTGTGTCACAAATCTTCTCTCTCTCTCTCTCTCTCTCTCTCTCTCTCTCTCTCTCTCTCTCTCTCTCTCTCTCTCTCTCTCTCTCTCTCTCTCTCTCTCTCTCTCTCTCTCTCTCTCTCTCTCTCTCTCGTCCTCTGAAGCTCTCGCCGGAGAAGAGGATGTCGCTGCGTCGGAAATCGCCTCACGGCGGCGGCGACGGCGGTGATGTCCCAAACCCAATTTTTCTTACATAAATTTCTTCCTCTCGTCTTCTCTGTTACTAATCTCAAGCTCGATTTTGCAGATTTCGCTTGGTTTCGCATAGATCTAAAAGGGGGGAAATGAAACCCTAGGGTCGGATTTGACAGAAACGGCTTTACCTGGTGAGATCTTTCCTTTCTCTTTCTCTTCTTACGAATTCTGAAGGGTTGTGGTTTTTTTGTGTGAAAATGATGATGAAAAAAAGAAGTTTAGGGTTTTGTGTTGTTTGCATGCGATTTTGTTTCTGTTTCCTTATATATTTTTGTGGTGAAAGGAATTTGGGAAATGGTTTTGTTGGCTTGCTGTGATTTTGTTTCTGTTTCCTTGTATATTATTGATGATGAAAAGAGTTTTTTGGGAAATGGTTGTGTTGGTTCTGTATCTGTATGAACCGAATTTGGTTTTGTTGATTCTGTTTTTGTATTGAACAGAAACTGGCTTGGTATCTCTGTATATTCTCTTTGCTCCTTTTTCTGTGATATCTTTCTGCTGATTTTGTGCGTT